AAGGAAAAGAAAAACACTCCCAGTGTCTCCGTTGTCTCTCCTAAAGTTATAGGCAGTACCTGGGGGCAACCCAGCGCTCTCGGCGGAAGCGGCGATACCATCGCTAACACCCTTTGCGCTGATGGTCCTCTGGGGTACGGCAAAGGCCTTGCCACGCGGACCGAGTGCAAGGAACCTAGCGGGATGATTAGCGAGATACACCGCTAGCCAAGTATACGTACAGTGGTTCATCTTTCATGCTGGCCTTGATGGGGATGTTTGCGAGTTTGTTGTTCGCGAGGTCTTGTAAGGTCTTGCAAGAAGCGAGTGAGTAAGGGCCGACAATGAAAACTCTACAACTTGCATTGATTCCTTCCAGGGCGCCGCGGAGGAATAGATACAAGACGATCCACATGGCGGCATCGAATGGAACATTGAACCAGTTGGTTACCGGGTCGAACGACATGACCCGCGACAGTCCCACGGGCGAGTTGAGATAGCCCTGGGGAGGAGGGAAATTGATTTAGCGCGGTAAGAGGAAGGATATGAATGTTTACTTACTTTGAAGAAGCGGACATTTAACGGGACCCTCCAGGTCAAAGGCGCAGTTTGGAATATAGTGATATCGAATAGCCTGGGATACTGTGTGATTTGCGGTTAGTAGGAAGAGGGGCATCAAAAGTAATTTCCTACATACCTTTCCTTGAGCGCCATAGGTCTTGTTCGAAGGCCCCAGGGAGCTAGGTCGAAGGCCGGTCATACAACAGATGACGGTGATGGTAATTCGTTGGATGGCAGAGGCGCGTCCGGAGAGCTTGGTGTCTTCGAGAGCCTGCTCGATGATGAGCTGGAGCTCTTCGACGCCAAAGTAGGTTTTCAGCTCTTCGTGGCGGTCGAGCTTCTCGCTAAGGATGACTTGAAAATAAAAATTAGCAAGTATATGCGTGAGTATATGCGCGAAAATAGCGTACGGGTATGGACCTGGTCCTTGAGATCGGAAAAGAGCTTTCCACGGAGCAGTTCATTTCCGACCTTTTCTCCCGAGACCCGATCTGTAACCAGGCGGTAGATGGCGAGGCAGAGTTGGGTGAGGTAGGTGCAAAGGGTCGACGCCTTGATTTTTCCGTTTGCTGCTGCTCTCCCGACGCTGACTTGGACCTAGGAAGATATGAATTTCAAGCCAGGAAGGAAAGGCTGGTTGGTTGGTTACTCACGATGCGCGGGAGGAAATGCAGGATATTCCGACTGACGACGTCTGAGTACCAGATCTCATTCGAAGACAGACGGGGTTCCTGGTTGGCCATGAAACACTCCCAGTTGAGTTCCAGGTGGTGGTATTTATCTAGGGTGCCCGGCGCCGACCTAGAAACGAGCTCCTCGTTAAATTTGTCGATGTCGGCCTTTTGGGCGTCATAATTGCCCTCGAATTTCTTCCAGGCTAGCAAGGTGAGGAAGTTTTTGGGCTTTTTTGCTTTGGCAGGGGGAGGGGGACGAGGTTCCATGGTGGGCAAAGGCAAGCCGCGTCGCGTACTTTTTGACCTTTTTATATTGTCAAATGGGTAACGTGACCGCGAAAATCCTCCTACGCCGTTCTCGTCTGACATTGACGCGGTGATTGCGGCGGTCGGGGTGTTTTTTTGTTAGTTGCTCGCGTTGGGCGCCCGCGTCGTGTAGTTGTCGTCGTCAAGTGCTCGCGCTGGGTGCCCGCGTCGTGTAGTTGTCATCATCAAGTGCTCGCGCTGGGTGCCCGCGTCGTTGCACACGTCGTATAGTTGTCGTCGTCATCAAGTCTAGTCATGAAAGTCGTAAGCAAGGCATGTTGTCGGTTGTTGTTGAAAAAAAAAAAACACATCGTGGGAGATCACAATGGCCATCAGGCATCACATTACAAATGATTATTTTACAAGGAGTGAACGCGCTACTAGAAGGGGTATTTTGCAAGAAACTGGAATATGTAATTACGGGTGGATTCCGGTACCAAGGCCTCGACGAGTTGTTTGAAGACGGCTTCATTTTCCCGCAGCATCTCGTTAGAGGTATCCGAGTTGGTGAGGAAGCAGTCGAGCGTGGCTGGGAAGGATGGCGAGCGACCGGTCGTTCCGGTGGTATAGGACGCGGTAGGCATCCAGGTTGGGTCGAGTAGGACGGCAGAATGGAACTAGGGTGGTGAGTATGCATCTAAAGGAAAGAAAAACGAAACTGACCATGACAAACAAGCTGCGCACGTTATTTCTTGCCTTTATGACCTTTTCATGACGCGAGGTAAAGGCCTTCAACTTTTTCTTGTACTCGGCGCGTGAGTAGGATTGAAAGTCGGGGTTGAAAGTTTCAAACGCGTTGATGCGGTATTGGGTCTTCCATAGCTTGCCGCCTGGTTGGAACGAGAGCTCGTTCCATTCGTACGAAAAGTTGATGGCGTGAATGGAAACAAGCATGGCGTGGACAAAGGCTGACAGAGAGTTGGCGGTGTGGACGGCGAACAGGATGGACTCGCGCTGGTGCAAGCGGGCAGTGATGTCCAGGGTGGATTCGAGGTTGATGCTGCGTTCGGTGAGATGCGAAAAGTCATCTTCCTGGTGACCAGCGTTGAGGAAAGAAGCCTTGACAAAGATGTGAGAGAGAGCTGGACAAAAAAAAAAGGCTGGAACGCACCATTTCATCGACACTTGCTGCTTGGGAATAACCGCGAACGAGGCGGAGAAAGCCTTGCTGCTCGGCGTCATACTGAGTCTTTGGGGGAGGGGTGAGAAGAAATTGGACGAGTTCATCTGCGGAGAATGTGTCGCCGTCGAGAGATTCGACGACCTCCTCGTAGCGAGCCTCTGGGGACTAGCAAAGACGGTCACGAGAGGGTGGTGTTGTGTGAATAAAACATACGACTGGGGCCTTGATGTAGGGTGCCTCTGGTTCATCCCAATCGCAATGGGAGTCGATTCCCGAAGCTTCCCGGATGGCGGAGAGATGAAAGTGCATGAGACCGGTATACTTGTAAAACTCGTCGGTCGTTTCTGTGAATGCCCTGATGGTACCGGGAGTCGCGCTGGGACTGAGGGGCTCGAGATCCTGGACGGCCTCGAATACTTTGTGAATGCTGGAATGCATGGCAGAGTTCATGGTGGTGGTGGTGGTTCGAAAGAAAGGAGGACGCGGATGGTCATGTCGTCGCGACAAAGTTGAAGGTGTATGCGCCGTGTTCTGTAAATCGATAGGTCACGTGACATGCCCGGCAACTACCGTGGATTTCGCCATTGACGGTTTGAGGTCGCTTAGATGACATCACAAGCACTCTCCTGCACGCCAGTGTCTGTATATGCTCACAATGGGCGCTACACATGCATACAGGCCTCCAAAGCAAAAGCAGGTGTACCTGAGATTGAAGTGTGCTGCTGTCCTCATGGCTTTGTTCGTCGGCCGACAGGGGGATAACTGGCTGCGAGGAGTGAACCGAAGGTTTGCGACGACCAGCGGGGCTTTCGAAAGCCACAATAACCAGAACTGATAAAAAAAGATTCTATATTACATTAACCTTGCTGTGAGGAGTGGACCGAAGGTTCGCGATGAGCAGCGGGACTTTCGAAAGCACGATAAACAGATCTGAGAAAAGATTATATTACATTAACCAGTTCGCGATGAGCAGCAGCCTTTGTTTTTTGAAAATTAGGTTGGTGAAAGTCCCCAAATAGGTCGATGAAAAGCAGCCCCAAAAGAAAGAAAAAGAAAAGGTAAAAAAGACTCGTATTCGCCATGCACAGCAATGGCCCTCAAAAACAAGTTTATTTTGGTGTCTAAGGTGAAATATTTAATCTATCTTTGGCCCACAGAACGAGAGAGCTGCGCTAATTTATTGGGTGGGATACCCCTGTTCACACTCTGTCAATGCCATGTAGGCTCGAGAGAAACAAGTGCGAGTAACAGGATTGTCGGATGGGCAACGAACAGTGGTATTTGGTGCGAAACCCAAAGGAAATTACTAGTCGATTGTCTTGTCATTGGCGGTGTCATTGGGGGCTATTGCTTTTGAGACTTTTGAAAAGAGATAAGACATACAATTCCCAGATACATGCCCAGTATCCAGAGGTGTAAGACGTGTCGTATCAAGCAGGACAGCCAAAAACCCCTATAAATGAGTGAATATATGCGTGAATTTCACGTAGTTCTTACTTGCTTTATGATGCAATTTTTTTGGTTCAAACGGCAGTCGAGTTGGCTTGAGGGAATCTCTAGAATCAGTGAATATATGCGTGAAAACATTTGGTTCCAGTGACGGCTTGTACCTTTCCTTGCAAATTCAAACACCAAAGACCTCGCAAGAGCAGTTGTCTGTACGCCCCACTCCATTTAGGCACGTAGATTAGAAACAAGCATGAGCATCAGGGTTGTCGGTCAGACAGCGAATTGCAGCATTTGGTGCCCTGTCCTCGACGGTGTCATTGGAGGCTATCGTACAAGTAAATAGCTGTCGAGGCTTTTGAACGGAGGAGATAAGACGTACGATGCCCAGGTACACACCCAGTAAAGGTGCATCGTGTATCCGGGTGGAACTATCAATGGAGAAATGAGCATGTATCTACATATCGAAATAGAACAAAGCGACTCACTTGACAAACAACAAGCTCAATTGATCCTTGGCTTTGACAATCTTGTGGGGTCGAGATGAACGTTATAAGCAACTTTTGTTGTACTCGGCTTACTTGGGAATAAGGTTCTTCCTGACAGGATGTGTTGTATCATGGAAACAGCCCATTTTCTTCACCTGCGCATTGTGCAGGTGAAAACAAGCACAGATGAGTTGCTCAAGACAAGTGGAGCGAGGCAACAGACGGCTGTGTGAAGGACGTGACAACATCTGATTTGTACGTAATGAGCTAAAGGGATAGTAGATACAGGCCATGTGAGAGAAGCAAGGCGAGGAGTATGTTATTTTCGCCTTTTGCTTGTGCAGGTGAAAGCCAAAACGCGGCAAACACCGCTGACACTTTTCACCTTTTGATTGCGCAGGTGAAAACAAAGGGATAAAAAATTGACCGTGACAAGGATCGAACTTGCGATCTCCTGATGCCGATATAATCGTAGTCAGACGCGATGCCATTTCGCCACACGGCCATATATTTACCAGGTGTAGCCAAGTAAATAGACCAGCAATGGACGACGCTAAGCGCGGGCTCGTCGCGTACCATGTATAGTGAGCGGACAACAAGCATGCGTGTGATCATCATCAACGCGTTATTTTCGCCTTTCACTTGTGCAGGTGAAAAACAAACGCGAATTTCTTTTTTTGCCGTGGAATTTTTTTTGCCCCGGTTCATTGATGAGGAGACAGTGGAAAGGAGCCTGTTGAGGTGAGGCGGTAGATATGCGGATGATGGTATTTTCGCCTTCCACTTGTTCCGGTGAACGGATAAAATATCATTATTTAAACACATGGATATAACGGGGCAACAATATTTGGGCGGCCGGCCCAGTACACGTCATTTCACAGTCTGCTTGCGCAGGTGAAAATAAAAATGGCAAAGGAGAACGCGATCAGACGCTGAAGCGAGGAGCGAAGCTCCGAGGAGGAAATAACCGTGAAAGGAAAGAACGATGTATGGAACTGCGGATAAACTATCATTACAGATATAACGAGCGACGCGACGTCGTGGGGGCAACAATGGCGCAGTGATGTTGCACGCGCGTCATTTCACAGCTCCGAGGGATAGATAAAGACCATGCTGAGTGCAGGTGAAAAGCAAAAGCCGTATGGAACTGGAGTATAGACGACGGATACGTGGACGGAAGCGGGACGCGGGAGTACTCTTTTCACCGTTTAGTTGCGCAGGTGAAAAGAAAAGTGGAGGAAAACGTCACTGGAATCGTCGTCGGACTCGACGGCCAGCGACGTTCTGAGAGGAAATAACCGTGAAAGAGCGAGTTGCATGTGCTGATTCGAGACGAGCGAAGCGAGTTGAGAACCAGAGGTGAATGTGTAGAAAAAGGGACAACAAGGAAAAGGTTGGATGAACGCAGGTATTTTCGCCTTTGACTTGTGCAGGCGTAAATATCGCAGAAACGGTCCATTTCTTTCACCTGCTCATTGTGCAGGCGAAAACAAACACGAGACGAGCCATGCGAGGCGAGAACTGACGTGCAGACGCAATTGGACGTTTCTTTACCGTTTCATTGTGCAGGCGAAAAGAAAAGCGCCGTCTCGAGACGAGCGAAGCGAGGCGACAGACGGCTTTGCGACAACGTGCAATGAGCTAAAAGAAAGTACATGGATATACGAGCGATGCAACGGATTTGTGTAATTTGTGCTAGAACCCGCGGCGCAGTGATGTTGTGCGCAGGTGAAAACTGAAGGAGAATGCCAGAGCTCCGAGGAAAAGATACAGGACCTGCCGCGAGCGGCGGTGAATGCGCTGTGAGAGCAACCAATTCACCGTTTGCTTGTGCAGGTGAAAGGAAAGCGACGCTGAGCGAAGCGAAGCGAGAGCCGTGTGGATTGGAAAAAGGAAGATTGACGGACACAATGCGATGAAGTGATGGTGGAGACGAAGGGAGGAACAAAGAGAGTAATCATTTCACCGTCTTCTTGCGCAGGTGAAACAAAACGGCGGAGGAGAACTGACGGTCAGAAGAGGAGCGAAGCTAAGGCGAGCGAAGCGATTGTGCGAAGACGGCTGTGTGAAGGACGGGACAACATCATTTGTACGTCCTGAGCTAAAACAAAATACATGAATATACGAGCGACGGCATGTGGAGACGACGAGTGAGAAAGGGAGGAGCGAAGCTCCGAGGATTTGGGTTGGGACCAGGATGGGATTTCACCTTTTGATTGCGCAGGCGAAAACAAAAGTGGAGCGAAGCTCCGAGGGTGAGCGAGTGGCGGTGAATGTTACTGCGCAGGGGGACCAGGATGGGATTTCGCCTTCAGATTGCGCAGGTGAAAACAAAAGTGGAGGAAAACCGGGCAAGGAAAATGGCAGAAGAGGAGCGAAGCTCCGATGGTGGGCGAGCGGCAGTGGATGTTGCTGCGCAGGTGAAATTTGTGGAACCGGAATATGAAGGGCGACGAGGGAGGCAGCGTGGAATGGCAGTGTGGCGACGTTTGATTTAAATGTGCTTGCCGTGGCGAGGAGCGAAGCTCCGAGGAAGGGTGGGCGAGTGGCGGTGAATGTTGCTGCGCAGGTGAAATTCGTGGAACCGCAATAAGAACGGTGACGAGTGCTTGCCGTGGCGAGGAGCGAAGCTCCGAGGATAGGCGGGCGCAGTGGCGACGTATGGAAAGGTAGTCGAGAAAATCATTTAGGTGTCGATTTCACCTTTTATTTGTGCAGGTGAAATAAATGTGTCTGTCTTGGCGAGGAGCGAAGCTCCGAGGACAGGCGTGCGCGATCGGTCCTGTGGAATGGCGGCGTGCGTGGGATAGCGGTGTGGAATGGCAGTGTAGAATGGTAGTGTGGAATGGCAGCATGGACGGACGGGCATAACGACGAATGAGGAAGGGAGGAGCGTAGCTCTGCGCATTTGGGGTGGACGAGCGGGAGTGAGTGGGCTTGTGTGGTTCGAGGTGAGCGAAGCGAGGCGAGAACCGAAGTGCCGTGGCGACGTATGGATTGGTAGTCGAGAAAATCATTTAGGCGTCGATTTCACCTTTTATTTGTGCAGGTGAAATAAATGTGTCTGTCTTGGCGAGGAGCGAAGCTCCGAGGGGCAGGTGTGGGCGCGGCGCGATCGGTCACGTGACACTACTCGACGCGACGCGACGCGACGTACGCGGTGTGGAAGCGTGAGCGTGTGTGGAATGGCAGCGTGGAATGGAGCGTGGAATGGGCGACGTGTGATGTTGTTTTTTTATTTATTTTTGCGGTTTTTCCCTTTTTTTTTTTTTTTTTTTTTTTGTTCCTGCTCATAACCTCGCCTCGAGCCCAAGCTCACGTCTAGAACAGTGTGGCGCTCCGCCGTCGCTTCGCTCTGTCCGATTGACCCCCGCCCCCCGGTCGCTCCGCTCCCCGCGAGGCCAAAAACAGTGCGGCGCTCCGCCGTCGCTTCGCTCTGTCCGATTGACCTGCACCCACCTCGCTCCGCGAGGCCCAAAACAGTGTAGTCCTCGCCTTCGGCTCGGACGCTTGATTCCCCCCCCGGCCCCCGACTATTTATTGTTCTCGCCTCGCTTCGCGAGGCGAGAACAATAAATAGCCTGCTGCCACGAGATTGCAGGTTCGAGACCTGCCACGGTCATCTTTTTATCCTTTTTAACAATGGCTTTTGATTTTTGTCCCTTTCGCAGCGCAGGATCTAGAGTTATTCAAAATTTGGCCAATAATCAACCTCATTGCAACATGTCACACAATCATAATGTCATTTTTCATGTCTGGTTTTGTCCCTTTCATCATGGATTAGACTGCGAGTTGCTCAGATAAATAGTACTTGGCCACAATCAATTTCTTCCATCTCCCCAAGTCCTCAATGGTCACCAAATGTAAATGTTTTTCCACAAAAACTGGAACACCATAAACCCTCCATGCTACCTACAGTACTTACCCTTGACTCAGAATGCAGAAAGACCAGCCACCAACAGCCAACACCCAGTGAATTGTCCTGAGCAGCCCTGAGAAAAAGCTGGAGGTCGATATGAGCCCATCCACAAGCATCCACCACTTTACCATTTTTAAAAAAGTAAAATCATAGTTCAGAAATGATAGAGAGGATAATGAAAATATGGGTGTTGGAAATCTAAAATGCCTCTATAAACCTTCCAGGTATATTTCAGCATACTTAGAAGAATTCCGGCTCACCAGGCAGCAACTTATTGCACGACCTTTTAGTGCAATCATTTAATGTCTTCCTTGACGGAGTCCACAACTCGCGTGTCGATACTCTGGAACTATACGTGAACCTGAGGGAAAAGGGGGAAGAAAGGTAGTCAATTAACGATAGGAACATCAAGTGAGAATCAGCTAGACCCTCGCGAGAACAAATTTGGATTTGCCGCCGTTTCCCGCCTCCTGGGCGCTTGTCCGTCGGATTCTGTTGGGGCGCTGTCAATAAACTCGCTTTAGCTTTGCAATTTTGGAACCTCGAGGTCGTTGGCTGTCTAGCAATGGAAATGAACATCTCGCCTTGACAAAATTGAATCCCGACAACTTGGCATAGTAGCGTATCTTCAAGTTCTAACGCATGAGAGCATATATCATTCACCCCTTCGTGTATAACTGTGATACAAACCTCTCGATGTGTTACTTACGTCCCATTTTGCCGCCCACGAACTCCAGGTGGCACTCCTCCACGTCCGTTTCGAGCATCGTATAAAATTCTGCAAGGCATTCTTAATATCCTGTGCATGATTTTACTCCGACGGACAATCCCACCAATCGGAAGCCCAAAATTGAAATACAATGGATGTACTTGACGACAACCTCGGAAATTGGGTCTGAGGCAAGCTTTGCAACGTCTCGATGTCGGGGTCGCGACAATTGTAAGTCAGAACGGTCAATGGAACACTCTGTAACTTTGACCATCCAGACTCTGTCAATACTCTATCGAGCAGGCGCCAAGTATCTCGTGGATTACACTTGAAATATGACCTTGAAAGGAAAACACAAATACTCATTTTTTGAATAACATTTTGACAGTGGCGGATCTCCTCAAGTTCGGCGACAAGTCCCGCCAAAAGGTCGTCAGTTTCAAGAATGTTTCTCTCTTCTGGTAAACCCGTCTGAATATCCAGATGCGTCAACGTTTCCATAGATGGTTTCAGCATCTTGGCGATACCGGTCCAAGTAAGCGGGGGGGAAACGACTGTAACTTGTGAGAAACAATTTGGTCAAAGTCCTAGAAGTGACGTTACTTACGAAGAATTCTGACTTTGATAAGCTGCGAGCAGTTTTGGAAGAGCTCGCGTGAGGCTTCAAATGTTTTGGTGTCCTCAAGGACGAGTGTTATGGAAGCGAGGACGGCAAAATTGAATATGGGCCTTGTATCGGGACGTCCAAGGACTGAAATTGTTTTAGAACAGCCCCAGCAAAATGATAGGCAGTGGAGTTGAATGGGCGTGTGGGAAAGGGTTGAAGGGAAGCTTTGTTCAGTCTCCACGTATTCCATGTGGGCAATAGAGAGTTCAC